TTACCACTGTAATTTGTTTAATATAAAGTAATCTGTATAAAGTAATTCAGAATTTAGTTTGCTTGTATTGTATTGAAAGTCATATTAAGAGTAATATTTTACTTCTTTAAGCCTAAAGTCAAGTGTTTTTGCATTCAGCATTTATTTCCCTCCAAGTGAAGGGGGTATTGTTTGATTTTTGGGGGTGATAAATAAAGATAGCAAGAATGAATAATGTATTATATACCATAATCTGTCAAAAAATGTTAAGTCTAACTATCAGTATGCAACTTTATTAAAAAGGTAGGTGTTCTCTACTAAATTACAATAAATAAACAGGTAATGCAAGTTTTAACAATGCATTAAATCTCAGACACAGACATGAATTCAACTAGTTTAACACTTTTAGTGGCAGAGATTAATGGATAAACGTTGCAATGTTCTTAGTAATATTTTTAGCCTGTGGGCACAGTAGGCTCATTGTGCTGTTTTTAGAACTTGTATTCACAAATAAATGTGTGTGACTATATATATTATGTGTGTGTGTGTGTGCGTGTGTGTATTATGAGAATGACAAAAACACATGTTATAGTCTTTTTGTATTGATATGTTTGTCTTTTCAGTTGTAATTCAACATTTAATGGAGCAGCTCAAAGTTAATATCACTCTAAGACCTAAACCTAAACAAAATTGGAAGGTAAGACTAAATTTCTTTCTCTCCATTTCATGCAAAATATAGCAAAAAGTAGTATGTAGTGTCAAATAGTTTATTTCTGTTGTCAATAGTCATATCAGATGGTGCAGTTTTTGTTATTTGCTGGGTGAATATATTTTACAACAGCCAAAAAGTAGTTAACTTGGTCAGATATGCATGTATAGTTGGTGGAACATATACAATCAACTTTTTTGATCACCACAAAATAGAAACTGTCCATTTTTGTCTGTCCTGCATTTGAAAAAATTCCTATACATTGTGATCATTAGACAGTTTAATACTAGAGTTCTAACTTTACTTGAAAATAAAATTGTACACATCCTAAACAGTTATAAATCTATTTGAAAATGAAACTCTACAAGTTACTAAACAGCTCTAACTTTAGTTAACAATAGAATGGTACATATTACTAAGATGGTTCTAACACTAGTTGAGAGTAAAATTGTGCAAATTACTAAAAGTTCTAATGCTAGTTTGAAATGAAATTGGATAAATTACTAGGCCTGAAATGGCCTGGTGGTTAGGGTGCTTTGCTTACAATTTGTGGGTCTAGGGATGTTCTCCCTTTCACCTTGGATAGCACTTCAAAATTAAGGATGGCTAGCCCAGATAGCTTTCAAGCAGCTTTGCAAAAAACACAAAACAATTACTAAGAAAGTTCTAACTCTAGTTGAAAATAAAGCTGTTCAAATTAACAATACTTTGAGATGTCAGTTCAAGCTGAAGCTTTTCAATCCATTTTTGTTTTAAATGCATTATCAATACACTCAGAAGAAAACTGTAATCAAAGCAAGTGTTACACCTCAGATTAGAAAATAACAAGATTTATTACATTAGCTACAATAGTATGTGAATGTTGGAACTTTGTTTTAGCATCATAAATTTGATCTAAAAATAACATGCTTAATTTAAATCATTGTATCAAATATCAAAATTAATTTTGTTAATAAATGATTAAATCAAACCAATAAAAAGAAACTTTGATTTCATCATCTATAAAGAGAGAATCTTGTGATATTTTATCATGTATATCTATGAAATATGTTTGCTTATGCTATATTTCTGATTCTAACATACAGAAGAACTAGTGTTAATATTTTGCCTAGTTATTTTTGTTTTTTGTTGCAGCATTAGAAAACTTTTATTTATTCCAGTGCTAAAAATATGTTCTAATCTTAATTACAATATTGTTAGTTAACCATTAAGTTCAAAACCTACTGTTATTTTTTGTATTGTGACATGTTGTTTTCATATTTCTTTTGAGATAGAAATAGATTGTTGTAATTTGGCTTTTGTAGTCTGTCATTGTCCGTGGAGCAGAGAAAGACTCCAGGGTTCTGTTTGAGGTGAGGAGACACCTTCTAGGGCTTGACAGATCAGATGTCCCACTGTGCTGTGAGAAACATGCTATATCTTTATTCATGTCGTCACTGTCATTAAATGGAGCAAATGTGCCTCAGGATCAACTTGTACGAGAGGTCAATAAGATGGCATCAGGTAAAGATGGTTTAAGCTCTGGCTTAGAATGATATAAGTGGATTTTATTTTATTAGTAAGATACAAACTATAGTACTGCACATATTGTACCTTGTGGCATGTTCTTTAGTGATGTAAAACTGGAAGACTTCATTATAAGTTCAGTAGAATCTTCAGTACTCCATGTCAGTACACTGAGATGTGTTCTGTTGCTGTAGTAAAATGAAGGTTACTGAGTTTTGTTTAAATTTTCTCAACTAAGTATTTCTTCTGATAACTTATGAAATTCAAAATGGTTTTCTATCAAGTAGTTCTGTATTACCTGTTTTTTACTATAACTGAATACTAAAAAGTTACTTGGAAAAACAACACTTTTTTTTTATAGATAACATACTTGTGTGAAGCACTTAAAAGTACTAAGAATAAATGTTAAGGGTGCGTTTTAGAAATGCTGATTAAATTTTGCAGGTCAATGAACATGTGGGAGGATACTAGTAACAAACCTTCTGTTACCTAGTAAAGTAAATATTATGTAGCTTGTTTTATGTTAGTTATTTTCATTTGGCTTTAATGGTATTAATGCACTGTAAGAACATTACTTTATAAAATTTGTATTATTTATTGTAGCCTAATATTTAAATTATGTCTTCTGATTAGTGCTGTTCAAAAGTAAATAGATACACATGCATGGTGTATATCTTATTAATAACCCTAGCAGTTGATGTTCATGTTTCAGTCAAAAGGTTTAACTCTCCACATTATTTTATTGGCTAATTATTGTTTTCATGGATTTTATTTCAGGGTCTATTGGAGATGTCATGCTTCCAACAAGAAACTCGGTTTTCTTGTTAAATAATTCTCATCTTCCCCTTTCTTTTGCTTCATCCAATGCTCTACCTAATACAACACCCCAATTCTGTACATTATTGTCCTTGTTTACTCATCTGCTTCAAAACATCAGAGCACCTGCCTCGACCTACAACCATCTGCCTCCTCCTGCTTCCCAGCCTTACCCGAACTCCATTGAGATGACCAAAAGAGGCAACTGGTCTTTTGTAATTGACCCCAAACCACCATTCTCCACAGATACAGGTACTAGCTAGTTAAATATATTAAAAGGCACTTGTTGCATATGTATAATATTAAAGATTTTATAAGTAATACAACATTATATTGTTGGGCAACTCTAAAACAAGACTTGTATGAGTTGATGGTATTTCTATGCCATGATCATCCTGTTTTTCTAGCAGAAGAGCAATTGATGTAAAAACAAAATAAATAATTGTCCAATAAGCAAAGTAGGACGGCAAAAACTTGTTGATCCAAGTATCAGATAGTATGAATTCCACACCCTTGTGAAGTGTTATAAGCAGAGTACTGATGACAGGTAGATGATAATTTTAAGATAGATTCGTATACATTTTTATGATTCTTGTATAAGTATTGACTCCAAGAAGTGAAAGTAATGCTTATATATTAATAGTGTGAATAAGCTAAATTGATAGAGAAATAGTAGTAAATGGTTTTAATAAATCCTGAAGAGCTAGTAGAAAATAAACTAATATTGAATCTAGTAATCAGTAAAGTTTCCTCTAATAGTTTGAAATACAATCGAACCTCAATCTCATGAAAACTGGCTTTACGAATGAGTGGTTATATGAACCATATTTATCTGTAGCATTTATCTGTGATGACATTAAGTCGTTATTTTATACATTTGATCTTTCATGCTCTGGTGAAATTATACATGCTTTTCCAAGAAGATAAGTCATGTTGATCTAATTTCAAGTGCATTTCTGTGTGAAAAGGCTTTGGATTAGAACAAGAAATTCAATGTTGATGCATGCTGTCAGGCAAGCTTAGGATGGCTTGCACAATTCATGGCTCAGAAAACTTGTGTGTCCTAAAAGCATATTTGAAAGTTTTTATAAATTATTTCTTTCAATGTGGCCAAAAAGAGAGCAAACTGTGCTCACTGTTAGAAATACAGATTGTTAAATTTTGGACAGAAGTGAAACAGCAACAAAGTTGGCACAGGAGCCAGACATTGTGAAATCCATACTTTCATAACTGATAAAAAAAAAACAGACTAACACAATAGTAAATTGACAAACAAAAATTGATCAGAATAATGAAATTTATGTAAAGAACATACTATATGTTTTACCAGAGCATTGTTCCATCTTTAGGTATTGAAGATGACAGACCATTGTTTTGTTGAAACATGTAGCATATTCTTTTTTATAAAATAATGTTCATTATACATATAAATTATCTCACTCTATTCCTACTTCCCCTTAGTGCTACTCTCAGTCATGATGATTACATTAACCTCATCTATTTCAATGACAAGGAACCCACTTTGAGACTAATAATGGTTGGAGATGGCTTGAATGGGTAATGAAGGAAAACTTTAATAAAAGTTTAACATAACAGCAAATGTACAACGTTTCGACAAAATTTGCTGTTATGTTAAACTTATATTAAAGTTTTTCTTCATTACCCATTCAAGCCATCTCCAACCATTATTAGTCTCAAAGTGGGTTCCTTGTCATTGAAATAGATGAGGTTAATGTAATCATCATGACTGAGAGTAGCACTAAGGGGAAGTAGGAATAGAGTGAGATAATTTATATGTATAATGAACATTATTTTATAAA